CAGCAAGTTAACCGGCTCTGATTTCGGCTAAAGCAGCTTTTATCTGGACCCCATGGCCACTCAATGTATGCAACATTTATTACCATTGAACATGAAGTAACATTATATGTAACACAATTAGTGAATAATATTTGTGATAAAATATGCCTAGACACTAAATGCCCCGAAAATAAATTCATGGCAACTATGGCTGCTTGAAGACCGCGCACGACGCACCTTGCATGAGCGAGCATCATCGTCATTGCTCATATTGTCGGCTCATTTATGTCATTGGTAAGTACCATTAAATTTATTTTTGTATTTTTCTTGTGGTCAGGGAACACAAATTAACAGGTTAGGAAGAACAAATTTTTTTGTTGTTATGCACCTGTGGGTGACAATGGCCAAATTGCCCTTAGCAACACAAGGGTTAAAGTAATTTTCCCTCAACATCCGTTCTCGGCCCTACTGTGCATAGATGGGCTTCAGCTCCTGGTCTACGGATTCCTCGCCATGGTGCCACTATTGAGTCTCGCAAGACAACAGGTGTATTTGTGTGGAGTGATAATGAAGATTTTGTTCCAGAAACTCTTACCTCTGATGATACAAATGTTGGAATTACAGGCCTTTTCCCTGATAATGGTGAGAAAATGTGTGAAATGGACTTCTTTACAGCATATTTTAATGAGCCGGTCTTGGAACATATTGCTCAGGAAATATACAAATATGCGGCTGATCTCACTGCAGGTGAGAAGTTGAACACATTTTTCACGATTACAGCGTTTGAAAAATACTACTGTAGGCGAAATGTACCGAGTTTTTGGTACTGTGTATGTTGGTCAAACATTGTGTCAAACACAATCAACCATTACTGGAGCAAAGACCATTGTGTTCCAACACCATTGTTTGGGAATTACTGTATATGTCTTGAGACAGATTTGTGATAATCCTCAGGCATCTTCATTTTGCAAGTAACGAAGACGAGACACGTATTGATAGGCTTTGGAGGGTGAAGCACGTTCTGAATGAACTTATTGGAAAGTTCAGAGATATTTCTATGTACCAGCTCAGAAGCTGGTGATAGAGGAATCCTTCGTGCTTTTCAAAGGCAAAACAAAGGGAAACACCAGTGTTTGACAATGCTAATTCAAGTAGGTGATTGCCAGCTAAGAATAACTTGTGGAATGCTTTCAGTGCAGTGGAAAGAAAGACATGAAGTGAACATGTTGACCACAATTCACACTGGTACAATGGTGGACAGTGGCAAGGTGAACGAAACCATCAGACAAAGAATATACACGCCAGACTGTGTTATGGACTACAACGTAAACATGCATTTGGTGGATAAATGTGATATGATGGTGTAGGTAGTAGTGTACGTAAAACAGTGAAGTGGACCAAGATGATTTCTCCACCTTGTTGACGTAGCAATGCTGAACAGTTACAATATGTACCTTGTGAAAACAGGTACTAAACCAAATTTCCGTGCATTTAGTTTTACTGTTGTGACAATTACTAACAAATTTTGCCAAAGAAATTCCTGGCATACAAAGACTAGTTCAGAACCCAGTATTGCACCATGCTCCCACACCCACGCTCGCTTACAGGGAGGGCTTTCAGGTACAGTACTGTACTTTATCTTATGGTACTGGTAATGTTGTTATTTAATTTGCTCTTATATGCATATATATCCCATTAGAGCATTCTATTGCGAACAATTTGGTACCAACATGAACGACTTAACATGAAAATTGATGTTATCAAACTGAAAAGAGTACTGTACTGTATACACATTTGAGGGCAGGTGTGTCAATAGGTGCTCGCTTACGGGTAACGCTCGGCTGATTTTCGGGTTTGCTGCGAGGCGTGCGCAGAGCTTTTGACCTTATATGCATATATTCCTTTAGAGAAATATATTGCAAATAATTTGATCCCGAAATAAACAATGTAGCACGAGAATTGAGGTGAGAAAACTTAAAAGTACACACATTTTAGTGTGGGTGCGCACTCACGGGAAACGCTCAGCCCATCTAGGGGTGGGCTGGGGTGCGCACGCCGGCCCACGTAGTGTTAAGTGAGAAGGTGATGGGGGGTAGAAATAGCCTAAGCTACTCTATCCCTTTGAAATGTATTTCTTTCTTGTTTCAATAAACATACTTGAACTTTAATTTGCAGTAAATAGGTACCTGGGAGTTAGTCAGCTGTCACGGGCTGCTTCCTGGGTGTGTGTGGGGCATGGGGGGGGGGAAATAGTAGTAGTAGAAACAGTTGATTGATAGTCGAGAGGCGGGCCGAAAGAGCAGAGCTCAACCCATGCAAGCACAACTAGGTGAATACTAGAGATCTGCAATCAGGATGATAAACTAACAATCATAAATGCATATAGCCCACCGCCATGCAACACACGATCAGAGGAGGAGCTGGATAATAAACGAGAGGGGTATTATAACAATAATAAGAGAGATTATAGGGAGAGCTGATGAAGATAGATCACGACTTGGTAGTCGGCGACTTCAACTTGAAATCCATAGACTGGGAGGCATATGAAGTTAGAACCGAGAATTTTTGGACGTGTAGATTCGTAAACCTCATCCTGGAAACATTCATGGTTCAACATGTTAAACAAGTTACGAGGATGAGGAAAGGGAATGTTCCCTCCATGCTGGATTTAATATTTGCCAGGAAAGAGGAAGAGCTATTTGACATTCAGTACCTCCATCCTTGGGTAAAAGTGACCATGTCTTTTTGGGAATGAAGTATGCAATGCATTATAATCTGGAAGAAAATGAGGTTGAAGCAGTTGAAAAGCCTGATTTCAGGAGAGGTCATTATGGGGAACTCAGACATTTCTTTAAAGAATTTAACTGGAAAGACTTGCTGTTAGGTCATGAAGTAAATGAGATGTATGTCAAGTTTTGTGATATATATGATAAAGGCACACAAAAATTTAAACCAAAGCATAGATGCAGAACTAGGAAACAGGATTGGTTCGACAGAAATTGCAAGAGGGCTTGAGACCCAAAGACAAAAATAGAATCAATATAGGAAGAGGCCACGCACCCAAACATATCAGCGATACAAAGATGCGTGAGGAGAGAGGCAGAAAGTAAGTTTGAAAAAGGGAATTGTGGACAAATGTAAAACAGAACCAGGTCTATTCTATAAATTCATAAACAACAAATTGCAGGTAAAGGATAAAACAGTATTCAGAGGTTGAAAATGGGAAATAGATTCACGGAAAATGAAAAGGAAATGTGTGAAACATTAAACGAAAAGTTCCAACGTGTGTTTGTACAAAATGAAATTTTCAGGGAACCCGACACAATAAGAATTCCAGAGAACAACATAGAAGTGTCTAGAGATGAAGTGGAAAAAATGCTTAAGGAGCTAAGTAAGAACAAAGCAGTTGGTCCAGATGGAGTTTCACCATGGGTTCTGAGAAAATGTGCACCTGAGCTCAGCATTCCACTTCAACTGATTTTTCAGGCATCCCTGTGTACAGGAGTTGTAGCTGATGCGTGGAAAAAGGCTAACATAGCTCCAATCTACAAATGTGGCAGCAGGGAAGATCCCTCAATTATAGACCTGTATCATTGACAAGTGTAATAGTCAAAATATTAGAAAAAAATAATTAAAACTAAATGGGTAGAACACCCGGAGAAAAATGATATATATTATAACATCAGACAGACTATGATTTTCGATCTGGAAGATCCTGTGTAACGAATTTACTCAGTTTCTATGATCGAGCCACAGAGATTTTACAGGAAAGATGGTTGGGTTGACTGCATCTATCTGGACCTAAAAAAGGCTTTTGACAGAGTTCCACATAAGAGGTTGTTCTGGAAACTGGAACATTTTGGAGGGGTGACAGGTAAGCTTCTAACATGGATGAAAAATTTCCTAACTGATAGAAAAATGAGGGCCATAATCAGAGGCAATGTATCGGATTGGAGGAATGTCACAAGTGAAGTACCACAGGGTTCAGTTCTTGCACCAGTAATGTTCACTGTCTACATAAACGATCTACCAGATGGAATATAGAATTATATGAACATGTTTGCTGATGATGCTAAGATAATAGGGAAGATTAGAAACCTAGATGATTATCATGCCCTTCAAGAAGACCTGGAAAAAATAAGTATATGGAGCACCACTTGGCAAATGGAATTTAATGTGAATAAATGCCATGTTATGGAATGTGGAATAAGAGAACAGACCCCACACAACCTATAAATTGTGAGAAATCTTTAAAGAATTCTGACAAAGTAAGGGATCTAGAGGTAGTTCTAGATAGAAAACTGTCACCTGAGGACCACATAAAGAACATTGTACAAGGAGCCTATGCTACACTTTCTAACCTCAGAATTGCTTTTAAATACATGGATGGAAAAATACTAAAGAAATTGTTCACGACTTTTGTTAGACCAAAGCTGGAATATGCAGCGGTTGCATAGTGCCCATATCTAAAGAAGCACATCAACAAACTGGAAAAGGTGCAAAGACATGCCACTAAGTGGCTCCCAGAACTGAAGGACAAGAGATACGAGGAGAGGTTAGAGGCATTCAATATGTAAAAACTAGAAGTTAGAAGAAAAAGGCAATATGATTACTGTGTACAAAATAGAAACAGGAATCGATAAAATTGATAGGGAATATTTCCTGAGACCAGGAATTTCAAGAACAAGAGGTCATAGATTTAAACTAACGAAACAAAGCTGCCGGAGAAATAATAAAATTCACTTTTGTAAACAGAGTGGTAGATGGTTGAAACAAGTTAGGTGAGAAGGGGGTGGAGGCCAAAACCGTTAGTAATTTCAAAGTGTTATATGACAAAGAGTGCTGGGAAGATGGGACAACACGAGTGTAGCTCTCATCCTGTAACTACACTCGGGTAATTACTTAGGTACAGTAATTACTACTGACATAGCTCACATAGAACTTGTGTATATCTTGTATATTGTGTATTCTTGCATACTGAGAATATCTTAGGTATTCACACTGTAGACATCCATACTAACCTTTTCAACCAAGAACTTGGCTCGCTCTGCCTCCTGCTGAGCCACCTGCTTCAACTCAACAGCCTGAGTAAATTCTTTGCCAAATGTCAGATGAGTCTGAAACAATAAGTGGTAATTACTCTCTCAATCTTAATTGGCTATTTTATAAGCATAAAATATGGTACTAAATCTAGCATATCGAGTGGTGACGGATAAAGCCTGGAAGACATACTGACACACAATTAAGCATGACAGTTCACAAATTACTTTCATTACAGTGTGAACGCCCCAGAATGACCTGCACGAGACGAGGCTGATTTGTTGCCTAAGAAATTTTGCTTTTTTAGCAAATGATGCTAACAAAGTGGCATCCCAACAACTAGGCTCGGTGGAGGCCTGGACAAATAATCCTCAGAGAATGAACATTTGTTAGCTCCACTGAACAATCTGCACTAAATACAAGCTGTTTGGAACATCCAGGAATTCATTACAGCACCGTTGGTTAGTGAGGATCCACTTCTCACTGGAACAATGAACTCAGCATGAACATTCACCAAGGAAAGTTATAGAACAATGTTAAGAGGAAGCTTGAGGCAATCACATGGTTCTAATACAGTTATGTGCAAATCCTCAATACTGCTCTTGGTTGACTGTATAGCACAATAACAATTTACTTGATACATTTTCATTACATACTTATGCATTATTTCATAACTTACAATAGATATATCATCGAGGACCAATCCAAACTGTGCAGAGCGTTCTGTAAGTTGTTCACTGACGTTGCGGGAAACCTTTTCACGTTGTGTGATGAGTTCTCCAGCATCGTATCGAGCCTGTGAAAATATTATGTGAAGATTAAGTTCGTTATAAAATTACTGACTGCGGAATTTGTTTTTAAAACTGCGCGTATCAATGCCAAAGTAACAACTACCTGCTCAATAATTTATAACCTTGGAAAATTAGAATAATCACAAATTCAAAATAAAACTAACAATTCCTAAAACATCAGATGTAATGATAACAGTTGTAGTTCACCCAATCTTGAGGTTATCTTGAGATGATTTCGGAGCTTTTTAGTGTCCCCGTGGCCCGGTCCTTGACCAGGCCTATACCCCCAGGAAGCAGCCCGTGACAGCTGACTAACACCCAGGTACCTATTTTACTGCTAGGTAACGGGCATAGAGTGAAAGAAACTCTGCCCATTGTTTCTCGCCGGCGCCCGGGATCGAACCCGGGACCACAGGATCACAAGTCCAGTGTGCTGTCCGCTCGGCCGACCAGCTCCCTATGGTGCCGGTCAGTGCTATGGTGCTATCCCACCAAACAAAATTGCTGTAGATTAAGATATTGTAGCATTAAATTACAGTACATTATTAGACTGGCAACACATACATCATCTGTAAGAAGATACTGGGAGTGCATGACCAACTTGCAAGTTGTTAAGAGCCAGTCTCAAGGAAGTAGAAGTCACAGAAGCAGTAGCTTTGCAATAACCACTGCACTGCACAGTGTGCCCTGAGGCGCCTGATAAGAAGAGCGCAAAACGCTTTTAGTTATAGGGAGATATTCAAAACTGGCCATGTACACAAGGCACACATCCTGTGCCTCAGGACTCCTGCAAACAGACGCCACCTTGAAAAAAAAAAATCGTCAGCATCCATGTTGGCTGCGAGAGCCTCAGTACTGAGAGAGCAACCAAGACTGGTGCATGCAGGGGCAGCGCACAGTACCGCTGTGCAGCTAGGGGGGGGGGGGGGGCACCACCACTTAGTAATGATGAATAAAATAGTAAATTATTTTGTGTTGATCATGTCATAGATGATCTTGACTGTGATAAAAGACTATATACAATGTTCAGATATCATTGAATACAATGTTAGTTATGTTATTCACGGTAGCAGGTAAAGACATAGCACCCAGCCACTGTTTCCTGCATCTACGCATCATGAAACGACCTCACGTTCCTTCACAATATAATCTTGTTGAAATTGCTTCATATTCGGGATTTTGTGACAGGAATGTGAAGATAACAGCAGTTTTGTAGCTAGTCATAGTGAGATGTGTAGAATATTGGTGGCATTGTCTAGCATCATGTAATTGCTGGCATCATCATCTTGTGGCTCCGTGCGGTGTTTGATTTCATCACCATACCCACCAGAACTGCTTATTAGTTTGTTATGGTGCATATAAATGCCGACAGTGGTATACAATGTGCATATATAGCGTAATAACAACACGAACACTGTTTGGTTGATCTAAGAATGTGTCTCACCATATATGAGCTTCACATTTTTTAGAATAGCGATGTTCCACACAATTAATACTCTCTCTCTCTTTGGACATGACTCTCGTCCATTTTTTTTATCTTGAATCATAGCTTTGGACCTGACTTGCGTCACTACAAAAATATTTGTATAAAATTAATTTTTTATGCAATCAACTTGGGGATACTTTCAAAATGAGCGCCATAAAATTCCCGTTCTCCTCGATAGGCCTATTGGCCGCGTGGGCCGTCGGCACAAGGCGTTGACCTCGTGTGTTGTTGACATCACTCGTGACCAGAACGCTCTCCCCTCGCGTCCACAACTCATGCGGTTTTGTGCATTTATATCGCTTCCCGTGTGTTCTCTAACCTTTATATACATTCCACAATGGATCCTGGTCAAGGTTCAAGCAGTGTTACTCCAAAAAAAGGGAAGGATTCATACAAAAAAGACAAGTATGTTGTATAAAAAGTACCATCGAGTGAAGCTTACACCTTCCAAGATACCCAACTTATATGACGAGTTATCAGATGTTGCGTCTGATGTAGAAGGTGAGGAAGAGTCAAGTGACTTCAACAGTGATAATTTGGATTCTGAGACAGGTATTTACGATGTATCTACTAGTGACGAAAGTAAAGATAGTGAGGAGAGTGAACCAGTTGCCCCGGCACCTCATACCCGAAAGCGTATAGGTCCTGGATGCGCTACACAGCCAGATCCTGCTAGTCCCTGGTCCACTGACAATACTCCACCAATTGTCGATGATTTCACTGCAACACTAGGCCTAACTATTCCGTCCCCCATCACCGCTCTGCAATTCATTCAATTATTTCTGACTAGAACGCTCATTGAATATTTCACCTATGAAACGAACCTGTATGCCACACACATCACGCAGCATGGTAGCGAGAGCGTAAGGAAGATGTGGGTGCCAATCACCGTCAAGGAAATGGCTAGATATATAGGTCTGTCCATGTTGATGGGAGTTTGCAAGCTACCAACAATGAGAATGTACTGGCAGACAGCCAGGCTTTGGCACACCCGTTTCTTCAATACTGTACTTTCATATCGTCAAAACAGTTTCAGCATATTGCAAAGTTTTTCCACTCATATAATAACTGCCATTCCCATAAATAATACAGACAGGTTGCTCAAAATTCGAGCAGTGATGGATTATCTGAAATCAAAATTTGCAGCAATATACGTTCTCCAGAAACAACCGAGTCTTGATGAAGGCACGATGGCATGGCTGGTTGTCTTTCAAGGTATGTAATCCGAACAAGCCTGAAAAATATGGAGTGAAACTGTACATGCTTGCGGAATCTATTTCTGGCTACATATATGACTTTGAAGTATATTGTGGAATAGGTAAAACAGTAATAGACAGTCACGGGCTTGACCGAGCCCCTAATGGACAAAATTATCATCTCTACATGGATAACTATTATAACTCAGTCAGCCTTACAGAAACTTTACGTGAACGCAAGGTTTACACATGTGGCACCATTAGATTACCATGTGGAACACCTAAGGAACTGCAATTGAAGGCAAAGGTAAAATACCATTGGATACAACGATATTTCACCGTAAAGATAACACCCATATTACACTGTGGAAAGACAAACGAGTGGTATCCGTCATTACAAACTTGCATAATGCAGACACCATGCAAGTTCAACGCAGGAAAATAATTCGCAAACGTGACGGATCATCTTCAGTAGAACAGGTAACAGTCAACAAACCAACTGCCATTTGTGACTATAATCGCTACATGAAAGGTGTAGATCACTTTGATCAAATGGTAAAATATTACCAGTTTACCAGAAAATGTCACAAGTGGGCAAAGAAGACAACGTTCTATGTTCTTCAAATGGCTCTACACAATACATTTGTATTATATAAAAACTACACAAGTGATCAAAAGAAACTAACGTTGCTGCAGTTTCAAGAGGTGGCAATATGGGCACTATTGAAGTGGGACACTGAGGATTGGCCTCTCACAACAGACACCACTTTAGAGGGTATATACCACTAAGAAACATGTAGAGGGCATATACCACTAAGAAACATGTAGAGGGCATATACCACTAAGAAACATGTAGAGGGTATATACCACTAAGAAACATGTAGAGGGTATATACCACTAAGAAACATGTAGAGGGTATATACCACTAAGAAACATGTAGAGGGTATATACCACTAAGAAACATGTAGAGGGTATATACCACTAAGAAACATGTAGAGGGTATATACCACTAAGAAACATGTAGAGGGTATATACCACTAAGAAACATGTAGAGGGTATATACCACTAAGAAACATGTAGAGGGTATATACCACTAAGAAACATGTAGAGGGTATATACCACTAAGAAACATGTAGAGGGTATATACCCCTAAGAAACATGTGGTAAGGCTGTGCGGTAAACATAAGGCTGTGTAGGGAAATAGAAATGATCTAAAGTCAAGAGACAAAGGGAGCAAAAGGTTATAAGTGAAAAAGAAAGGAACCTAAAAAAACTTTTTCTCGTATGCAAAAACAAGAACAAAAACTGCATCCAGCATCGGTCCCTTGGTTGATACCTGGTTGATGGGGTTCTGGGAGCTCTTCTACTCCCCAATCCCGGCCCGAGGCCAGGCTCGACTTGTCAGAGTCTGGTCCACCAGGCTGTTGCTTGGAGCGGCCCGCAGGGCCACATACCCACCACAGCCCGGCTGATCCGGAACTTCTCTTAGAAAACCGTCCAGTTTTCCCTTGAATATGTCCACGGTTGTTCCGGCAATATTTCTTATAGTCGCTGGGAGAACGTTGAACAACCGCAGACCTCTGATGTTTATACAGTGCTCTCTGATTGTGCCTATGGCACCTCTGCTCTTCACTGGTTCAATCTTGCATTTTCTTCCATATCGTTCACTCCAGTACGTTGTTATTTTACTGTGTAGATTTGGGACCTGACCCTCCAGTATTTTCAATGTGTATATTATTTGGTATCTCTCTCTCGTCTCCTTTCTAGAGAGTACATTTGGAGAGCTTTGAGACGATCCCAATAATTTAGGTGTTTTATCTCGTCCATGCGTGCCGTATATGTTCTCTGTATTCCCTCTATTTCAGCAATCTCTCCTGCTCTGAAGGGGGAAGTGAGTACTGAGCAGTACTCGAGACGGGACAACACAAGTGACTTGAAGAGTACAACCATTGTGATGGGATCCCTGGATTTGAAAGTTCTCTTAATCCATCCGATGATTTTTCTGGCTGACGCAATATTTGCTTGGTTATGCTCCCTAAACGTTAGATCGTTGGACATCATTATTCCCAAATCCTTGACATGCTGTTTTTCTACTATGGGAAGATTCGATTGTGTTTTGTACCCTGTATTATGTTTCAGATCCTCATTTTTGCCGTACCCGAGTACCTGAAATTTATCACTGTTAAACATCACGTTATTTTCTGCTGCCCAATCGAAAACTTTGTTGACATCTGCTTGTAGTTTTTCAATGTCTTTAGCAGAGGTAATTTTCATGCTGATTTGACATGCCCCACCAACCAGTCATCGAAGTAGATCAAGACGC